GGTGATTAGGTCATGAGGATGGAGCTCTCATGAATGAAATTAGTGCTCTTTCAAAAGAGACCCCAGAGAGCTCCCTTGCCTCTTCCACTGTGTGAGGACAAAGCAAGAAGACTACTGTCTTTGAACCAGAAAGCGCCCTTTACCAGCACCTTGATCTTGGACTTCTCAGCCTGCCGAACTGAGAAAAAATGTTCGTTGTTTAAGCCACCCAGTCTATGGTATTTTGTTATAGCAGTCCAAATGGACAAAGACAACAAGTAAAGTAAAATCATTCTTTGAAATATTTAAAAATAATGGTGACAACTTGGTAAATATGATAGATTGAAAATCATTTACACAATTTCCTTCCTCCAGTGCTTAAAAAAAACACGAATCAGCAAATCAAGCAAAGTTACTAACACCAACCAACAAAAGTGAGAGACCCAACTTCATGCATAAATTTCAAACAGTCAAGAGGGGCCAGCCTGGTGGTGTAGCGGTTGGGTTCGGTGGTCTGGGATTCTCAGGTTTGGATGCCGGGCTTGGACCGGTGCACGGCTTGTCAAGCCATGCTGTGGCGGCGTCCCATGTAGAGTGGAGGAAGATGGGCACGGATGTTGGCCCGGGTTCCGTCTTCCTCAGCAAAAAAGAGGCGGGTTGGCCACGGATGTTAGCTCAGGCTAATCTTCCTCACTGAAAAAAAAAAAAAAAAGTAACAGACAAGAAAGAAATAGAAGATAATGATCTAGCTCATCGTGTCGTCTAAACCTCACCCCTGGATCTATCTCCAAGACATTGTTAAAGGGCAAAAGGTGATTCATTTAAAACCAGGTAATTCTTAATATTTTTAATTTTGGGAGAAGTAGATTGAGGGACTGAAAATGAAGGCCAATGAAAAGTCAGAGAAAATCCCTCAATCTTCTGTGGTACCTCAGCAGAGGCAGGGAAAACTATCTGTGCCTACCATTTTTAACTCTCCAACTTGTTAAAAAAAAATTAGGAAACTCTATAATTCATGCTAAAAAATAAATAATCACAGCACCCAGAAATCCGATTTTAAAAATCTGGAAGAAAACTCAAGGCTTTCTCTACCCCTCAAAATATTCTTATACCTTTTCGTTCTGTAGAACTTAGTAAAAATCTGAATTCAAGAAGATTAAAAATTCAAAAGATGGCATTGCAAGAGATTGAGTGACTGAATAACTAAGGAAACAAAATGAAGACTAGAGCAACACTATTACAGAGCTGATCAGTACATTAGAAATAGAATACAATGAAAGTCAGGTTATTATCATAGCAGGAAATTGAGATAATCACAGTGTATTCCAAGTAAAAATTAAATGAAAACTAAAAGAAAATAGATATGTATCATGATAAAGGCATCCAACATATGAATAATGTTTATACATCAGGTAGACGAACCAAGAAATTCTTCTGGAAGCTAGAATAAAATTTCCTTGAAATGGCAAACTGATGCTATAAGACCTAAAGGGCCTATTTTCAGGAAAAGTTGAGAAATAACAATTGACAAACATGTTCTGATTCTGATTAGGATTTTGAACTTCCTCGTGAAGAATTCTTCAGGTAGGCATCTAGGTGCAGAAAAACAAAAACAAAACTTAGAAGGATCCTCTGCCTGACCTCTTGAATCTCCACAATATTCATTATCCAAGTACAATAAAGCAGTGTCTAGAAACTTTGGGGGGAATGAAAGTGGAATTCAAGAATATATACCGCCAGCCAAATTGTCATTTAGTTATAAAGACAAGGGGAAAAAAATTCTAATATAACGTCTATGAGTACTTCTTGGTAAAATGACTTGATGTTGAAATTTACCCAATAAAATGATGAATGGAGAATGGGTGAATGACAAATGGAATATAAGAAACATCAGGAGAGTGCAGAATGTTTGCAGATGATGGAACAGTGACTACAAATCTGTGAGGGAAAGAAAGTGTGAACCAAACTTTATTCCCAGATAAAATATTCTTTGAGTAGAAAAGCAAAAACTCAAGCCACATAAAAATGTTGAGGCTGTTGAAAAAAAAAAAGAAAACCCTAGCAGATGAAGTTCATCAAATGAAGTGAATTAAAATAAAGAATTTTGAAAGAAAGATATTATTTAAAAAGTCAGTTTCCTTGACTGTAGATATGTTATGTCTAAATTGTGTGAATTATGGCTATAGAATATGATATAAATCTCATAAACCTTGTCAAGATAAAAATAATATGACCAGAACTAGGCTACTAGTTCTGAGTGGAAGTTAAAATGTTCTGTTTCTTTCTCTCTCATAGAAGCAAGTCAACTTACAAATGAAATGCATTGCCATTAAAAGTCCAGTATCTTAATCCTGTCCATGATATCTTTCTTAACATTTAGAAACTAACTAAGCTTTCTGGAAGTGAAGAATTATCTGAAATTTAGCAGCACCTTCAGTTTTACTATATTCATTTTTTTTTGCTAACATTAAATAATTTAATTAAAATGACATGCATATTATGATCGCATTTTAATAAAATGTATTAATGCTTTTGTTCCTTCATCCTTTTGTCCTACCAGCTTACTGCATATATTATTAACAGAGAATTGTTGGAATGATACTTATCCGATGTTCAGAGTAATTGTTTCTAGGTAATAGTATTTTTGGATGAATTTTTTTTTAACCTTTTAAAACCACTTTTCCTCATTGTTGATATTTAGAACATATACTTTTTTTTCTTGAAACAAGATCTCTTAAAAAAAAAAACAAACGTGGTTAGTTTTAAAGACCTATTTATCAAGCATTTGCTAGTGGTAAAAACATGAATGTTTCTGTCCTCAAGGATCCCATACCCTGTCTTCAAGAAGTTTATCAATTTTTTTTTAAACAGTTTTATTTTTATTTTTATTTTTTTGTGAGGAAGATCAGCCCTGAGCTAACATCCATGCTAATCCTCCTCTTTTTGCTGAGGAAGACCGGCTCTGAGCTGACATCTATTGCCAATCCTCCTCCTTTTTTTTTCCCCCCAAAGCCCCAGTAGATAGTTGTATGTCGTAGTTGCACATCCTTCTAGTTGCTGTATGTGGGACACAGCCTCAGCATGGCCGGAGAAGCGGTGCATCGGTGCACGCCCGGGATCCGAACCCGGGACGCCAGTGTGGAGCGCGCACAAGGAAGTTTATCAATTTTAGTACTTAAAAAACTAAGTCAGAATCCCATGTTCTCATCCTAGAGAACATCCTAATTCATGTACCTACAAAAGAAAATTTTAAACTAAGTCATTTTTTTAAAATTCAGAATTCACTCACAATTGTTGAAGTTAAGATCTCATGATGTGGTTGCCTTATGTCATATCTGTCAAGTCAGAAACTTGTCAGGATCTGAGGATTATACCCTACTTGTAAGTGAACATGTATGCCAATAACATAAACATTGCCAAGAGACATGAAACCGCAGGGTCAGAGAAAAGGCAATTTGTTACTCACAACAGTAGCAGTAAGGACAATAACAGTGTAGCACTGATTTTCTGAATTGCGGTTCCCATAAGGAAATCCGATTAGAGCTAGGTATTGCCAGGCAGTGGGGTCCATTGAAGAAGAATCTTGATGCTGAGAAGCACTGGCCTTATACAGGCACTGCTGGCAAACCAGTCCATCCTCCTCTTACAAGGGAGACATTGTCTTTATTACTCTGGAATGCCAAGCCAATCTGCTCCAGGGAGAGAGATGTCTCTATCTTTACTTTCTGGAACATAAGCAAATTTGCTCCAGGAAGAGATGTATCTATCTTTGTAAGTCTGCCTGCTATGCAAACATCCTTGAAAAGCCAATCTGGAGTAAATTAGCTATTAATGCCTTTGAAGATGTTTGGATATGTGAGAAACCCCTGGAAAATTGTCTCCCTGTAATATCTAGATGTGACTCCTTGAACAAAGTTAACGTTGCACAGGGGAAGCTGATTTCTTCTCTATTTTACTATCAATACGTGGCTGATGACTATGGAAGGTTTTTGTTTTTTTAATAATCTTCTCTCTGAACTGTGTACTCAATAAGAACTTTAAACCAAAGTAAAATTCTTGAAATTGATAAGCCAACTAATTTCTATAGCAAAGCTAAGACCTCAAAACCTTTACTTCCCTTTCTCAAATATTTTGTCAAAGTTACATAGACTTAAGCTGAATTCTACTGAGTAGGTGATGCTTTTAGAGGTACAGAGTTTGGTGTTTTACTAAGGAACAAGTATTCTATTTTAGTATTATAAATTGTAAAGCATTCTAAATATAATGCCGCTATTATCCACTGAAATGTGACTTCCTATGGAATTATTATAGCAGGCATCATCATAACAGATCCCTTGTGTAGTAATTGTTTTTGTTCATATTCTTATAGTAGAAAAAATAGAAGTTAATTAGAATATTGAACTATATGGAATAAAAATTAGGAAAGATTTTGTAATATCTGTACTTTTCCTTCTAAATCTAGTCTGGGACTACCTTTAGTAATAATCTCTTCTTTTATCTTCTTATCATTGCCCTAGTTCAAATCTTATTTCTCTATCATTTATATTATTATGATAATTTCTTATTACTTTCCCTGCGTCTAGTCATTCCAGGTTTAGTCAAATCTATTCTTTGTAACTATAGTATTTAACATGCTTCTAGAACCCTCCAACAATCCCTGGCTAACCAACCTTTTTATTTTATTCTAACGTTCTTTATAATATATTCTTTCTGTAAGAAAAACTAGGCTACTTACCTGTTCCTGAATATATTCTGTGCCTTTTCTACATTTTTTTGTTATCTGAAACAATTTCCTATTCCTTGTTTGCTTAAATAATATTCGTTATTCATGGACTAGTTCAAATGTCTTTTTCTTGGTAGCCTTGTAAACTTCACCCTAAATTATTTTGTTTTTACATATGGTCCTTGGCTTTAGGTGCCTCTAGCAATTTTGTGTTCGTTTGTAACTAAGTTGTTTATGTTCACATTTGGTCTTTCTATCTAGTTTGTAAACTCTTTTTTCCTTTAATTGTTTCTCCTAGCATGTAAAAGTCACATCTGGGGCTCTGTGTCATGCTGACAGAGATCTTCAACAAATCATCTTAGAGCCATGCTACAATTTTGTTTGTGTGAATGTAAGTAGTAAATACAAATGATTGAAAACTCTTGAGGATCTGTATAAATGTAATATGGAGGAGAACTTATTTTTCTTGATTATTAAATATTCGAATTTAAGATCTTGATAGATGAGTTGTGTTATTCAATATGTATTTGGAAATTTTATTTTTTTTCTTTTGAAATAGGGAAATAACATTTTCTAACAAGCTAATTCCCATAATGAGAAGAGGGTGATCTTTCTTTAGACAGTATGTTCAGTTTTCTGTTTTGTACCTGGTATAAAGCAGATAAGACGACATAGGTTTGAATTAATAAATAGTTCAAATTTTAATAGGTATTACCTTACAGATAGCATTTAAAATTGTTTGAAAATTAAAAATTAAGCTTGCTAAATATTTTGAATATTTATGTAAAAGCTCTCCATTTTTTTTCTTGAATTAACTTTTAAATCATTTAAGAACTTCTTTTCATTTCTTCCTATGTTTCTGGTCTTTCAGGTTATGACCTCTGATTTTGAAGAAACCCAGAAATTACTGAATATGCTCGAAAAGAGTAATCTTTCCATTTTATATCCTGTTGTTGTTATTTCAGTAAGTGAATTAATGTATATCTTTCCCTTCAAACTTATACTTCCTTCCTTGGAATTCAACTTTTCTATTGAACAAAATTTCATTTTGTTCATTTTGTTCATTTTGAATTGAGGAAATTCATCCAAACCCCAAAGAAGAAACTCTTCTTTGTGGATTCTTGAGCTTACTCTGTTGCTATGACTTCTATGACTCTTGCCCTTATTACTGCAATTATTGAGTTGAACTGACAGGTTTGGAAAACAATTTAATTCAACCTAGCAACCAACTTCATTTCTTTTCCTTCATTAAAATTGCAAAGTATATTGCTGAATTGACTAGTTGTTTGGATAATGTGAAAGGGTTTTATTTAGTGTATTACAGAATGCCATTAGAGAAGAAATCACAAAGTTAGAAAAAAAAGAGGAAAAAATCAAATGGAAGAAAATATACTCTTAAGTTGTTTCATCTTCTCTGTTCCATGGACAGCAAAAGTAGAGTGAACAACAGATGAAAGAGAATTCCTGTAAGAATGGCCGGGGAAATTTTGAAGAGATCTTTTCTGTGAAAGGCTGAAAGTGTATGTTTAGTACAGAATTTACTTGATTGGCCTATTAAACTGTATAGCAGATGGAACTATCAGAGAGCAAAACCAGGAAGGAATGCAACCAGAGGCCAGGCCTGCCAAACTGGCTGAGGAGCAGCATCTGTAGTCTGCAGCATTTTGCTGTGGGAAGGAGTTCCAAACATGAAATTCTCAAAACAATTGCTTAGCAATTGCCAAGTTCCTAAAGCTCAGGGCCATCCTATAGTGTGGGAATTTAATTCTTGTTACGTAAGATCGTTAATACAGAATAAAGATAATTTGCATTACAAATAAGCAACTCTAGACTGAGCTATGCAGGTAGAAACAAATTAGCGATTGAGGGAGGTTTGGTTATTTCACTGGCCTGTTTTATTCGGTTATAAGCCCCAAAGATAAGTTCCACGGGTCCTGTTGAATATGGAAACCCAAGTTCCACATGTGACTGATTTTAACAGAAACATAGATGCTTTCACTGAGGTTTTTTAGGACATTCTGAAATGTATTCAATGCTTGAAGGCTCTAAGGCTCTGTAGGATAGAGGTAAGTTCAAAGTTCTGTGTTTGGCCCTCTATTCCTCTCTCCACGTTAACTTGCTTAGAAATCTCATTCACTCCATGTTCCCAGATATTATTCTGAGGCAGTACAGTACTGTGAAAAGAGCAAGGGCTTTGAACTCAAGTTACTTAACTCGTCTGAGGCTTGCTTTCTTCATTTTAGAAATGAGGCTAATAACCCTACTTCTTAAGTCATTGTGAGGATTAAAATGAATGGATGGATGAATGAATGAATGCAAAGTGTAGTTGATAACACAGTGCTAGGCCCTTGGCAGACAAGCAATGTTAGTTTCATTTAATAGTCTAGGTTCTCTTCTTTCCATTTTGGATGAGATGATTCAAAGTTCACTTCCCTTGCTCTAATCTGATTCCTGAGTTTTGGTCAGACATTTTCCAACATTCTATTAGGTACTTCCATTTGAGTATTTCACTATCTTCTCAGGCCTAGAGTATCAGATCTATCACAAAAGCACATTGTCCATCAATTGACTTCTTTAAGTGGCCAATACAGTTGTGGTTGGTACTCAGGTGGGAATCTGTGTCATCTTTGAATTTTCCTTCTACCGTTTTCCTCTGCCTCTCTCCATCAAATACACACACACACGCTCACGCACACGCACACACATATAGTTTTTAAACTGTTAGTTCTTGTATTTCAATGCTACTGTTGTTATCTCAACCTCAGATCTTTGTATTGATTCTACAAATATTTGAATTTAATTTTCTGTTGACTTCTGTTGAGTTCCATTTCATGAATCCCAGTAAATGCCAGAATTTTTTTTGGCTACCTGATTTTCTGTATCAAAGTAAGGGGAATGAGGGATAATCCTATAATTAGTTCTGGGAGACATTTCCTCCCTAGTTTGAGGAGTGGTGTTATTATAAGTCGGTAAACTATAAGTCTATATACTATAAACACTGTGAAATGTTTAAACTGTGGAGTTGTCACTCCATAATTAATATTTGTTCACCCATTATTTTCTCATTGCGTAGGTAGACTAAGTGTGGTGATAGTAAGGTTATTATTAAACTTAAAAGGAAAATGTCACTGGAACACATCTAGAATCTGTATCCTAAAAATGGAGCAAATCACTGGAAAGGTGGAGTAAAGAATGCTGCCTTCTTGGATTGAGAGTCAAGTAAACTGCCTCTGGATTTTTGAGTTGTCCTATAAATGATTGTGTAAAGGCTTCATCCTTTTGCTTTCTGATACTACTTCCCCCCAAAATGACCCAAAGGCCATTTCAGTTTCCCTATGACTTAAAATTTGGGGGAACCATTTAAATATTCCCCAAATTAATAGTCGTATGGAAAATATTATGATATTTTCAAAATAAAGTAAAATAAAAGACTTAAATTTGAGTCTAGACATCTGGGGACACAATTGGCATATTATTAAGTGGAAACAAATACATACACATATATACAAATAATATGTGGGTGTATAAGTGTGAATACACATGCAGACATATATATTTGATTGGAAAGATGTTACACGTATGAGGCAGCTCAGAGGCTACGGTGTGTCTGCTTTACTTCTGTTTGAATTACTTTGTTAGAAGATTAAACCACAACAAAAAGGACCCTACCATGGGGGATTTTTTTAAAATAAGGCTTTTGTTAAGCAATTTTAAATCCTGAGAAGAAGGGTCAAAGAGGAGTCTGTTCATTTGCTTTCCTAAACAGGTAGGTTTATTCATCAGAAGAAAAATCTAAAATGACATCAGAGTCATAGAAAAATATGTCCACTTTTATTTTGGAGTTATGTGATTCAATAGATATTGAATGCATATATTGTAAATGTTTAAATGCCTATTTTGTCTTGGCTGAAATGTAGTACAATGATCCTTTTTCCTACCTAGGATTTATCAACGTCCAATTTCAGTCCGTCTGAAGAGAGGAAGGCATAGTAGGAATCAGCCAGATGCAAAGTAAAATTGTGGTTGATTAGGTGTTTGTGAGGGTTTTTTCAACTGAGAGACTATCTAGTTAAGGTGTCATTAGCAATGTCATCATGTTTCACTTTACAAGGACAAATATTCAGAAGAAATGGGTCTGAAGGTCAGTTTAGCTGGGGCATTTGTTTGACAAAAACAACATTAGATCAGATTCTAAGTGCTAAACATTGGTGTCAGGCATACAATGTTGATGAAGCCCACATTGTCTTTTATAGCCTCAAGTAGATATAGAAAAATATTTTGAAATTCCCTGTTGGCTGTCATTCAATAGTCATTCAAAAGATACATGTGACTTTCAACCTTATCTGGAATATTTATCTCTTGGAGGGAGCTAAGCACTAAAGGAGTAAACGGTTAATGGTGTTGAGTTCTTGGTACAGATGTATTTAGTATAGTTAGATTTTATTTCATGTTCTGCAGGGGTCTTGATTGTCTGAAGATCAACTTCTCCCTGGCTTTTATGAAAATGAAATGGGTTAGGAAATATTTAATGTAGGCGATTTTTGTTATCTAGGATAAACTGGCATAGGTAAGAGGATACTACTTTATGATCCAGTTAAAGAAAGGAACAAAATTTCACCGTGAAGAGGAGAAAACATAATTGGGACTTTATCTTAAAAGAACTAAGATATTAAGATAATTTTATTTTACCTTATTTTTTAAAAAAATTTAGGTTATGTTTGCAAAAATGAAACTTTTTTGCATAATCTTGTAGACATTATATGATAATATGTTGTAACATGCTTCATTTCAAGTGATCATTTGTGAAAAAATATTTTTGGACATTTTTAGTTTTATAGAAATGTCCTTTATTACTTTGTTCAAAATACTCTTTTGGGCCATCTATTTGGTCATCGTTCCTGTTATTTTTCTTTTACATATTTTAAGTAGTCATTTGTCTGTGGTGTTGAGTATGATTTAAGGAGTTTACCAATGTTAATTAGATCAGCGTAATGAAATCCTATGTTTGGGTAGATGTAACTTAATTTCATTGTAATTATATTGACTTATCAGAATTTTCCAGACTTCTTCAATCAGCTATAGACTGACTGATGGTACTGTTGACTACTTTGGCTAAAATAGATGTCAGCATTAAAGTGGGCAGAGATAGTTGGGTGGGGTTATTTTATAAGTGTTCTGTTTCTCAATAAATCTGTGTGTGTGTTAGGATGACATTTGTTGCCCTTTGCAATCTTTTAACTGTGAGCCTTTGGAAACATGCACTCAGATAACAAGCACACCTTGTACTAGGAGAATACTCCCTACTTGAAAGAAAAAAAAAAATGCTCTTTTTTAAATTAAAGACTGGTTAGCATAAAGGAATTTAAAAAATTTAGATCCCTTTTTATGTCTTTTAACAAGAAAAACCTTATAAATGTTAAAAATCAATTCTTTCCTTTGTAAAGTTAAATTGTGTAGAAATTATGTCTGAGAGGCCTTTTCAGATGTGATTCCTGATGCTGTTTAGTCTATCGTGTAAGTTATCAAGGAGCCAAGTTTTTATCTTGAGTTGACTGAAGTTATTGTCAGCCTTCTCTTCTTGGTGGTTACCGGGGAGTATATTAGCAGTCAGCACCTTTTTCAGATTGCAACTTGCAAGAGAATTATCTGAAAGCCCTTTTTGCAATCACTTGATATAATAGCTATCAACATGGGACGTGTTCTGTTCTCTACTTTCTATGCCTATCATGTGTTTTTGATGAAAAAATATTGAGAAATATAAAGTAATAGATTAAATGTATGAAAATAGTAAAAGGTAAATTCATAAAATTTCTGATATAAAAATCATTCGAAAAAAGAATAGGCTTTTACCTAAACTTAAACAAGACTCAAAAGTACTAAGAATCTGAATTGTAGGCTGAGTTCTTGCTTAGAAACTAATGATCAGAGAGCTGTTTTTTTCCCAGCAATGGAGAAGAGAGTTTC